AAGGGTGCACAAACTGCCAACAACTTGTGCCCCCCTTGCTTTCACTTGCCGTGAAGTTCAGGTGGCCATCGGGAAGGCGAAAGCCTCCAAAGCCATGGGTCCCGACGGAATATGCATGCTGATGCTGAAAAATTTGGGTCCTGCGGGGGTAGCGTACCTAACGGAGGTCCTCAATCTGTCAATGGCCACTCTCATCATCCCAGACATCTGGAAGGTGGGGAGAGTGGTCCCACTGCTCAAACCGGGGAAACCTGCCAACAAAGGAGATTCGTGTCGTATGATTACACTCCTTTCCCCGGTAGCGAAGACACTCGAGGCCTTGCTACTCCCGTACTACACAAATCACCTGACCCCAGCGAAGCATCAGCATGGTTTCCGTAAAGTGCACAGTACAACAACAGCACTTAACGCCATAAACACTCAGATAACTCGTGGCCTTAACCGTAACCGTCCCTGTGAGAGAACGATTCTAGTAGCGTTGGACTTGTTTAAGGCGTTTGACACCGTCTGCCATTCCAGGCTACTAGAAGATATAGAGGCCTCCTCTCTCCCACAGAGGCTCAAACGGTGGTCGGCAAATTATCTAAGTGGTCGACATTCGTCGGTAATGTTTAGAGACAAAACGAGTAAGCAGCGAAAAATAAAACAGGGGGTTCCTCAGGGTGGTGTCCTTTCCCCGCTACTGTTTAACTTTTATATTTCAAAGCTCCCTCAACCACCAGAGGGAGTCTCGATTGTCTCCTATGCCGACGAATGCTCGATTATGGCGACTGGGAATGGAATTGATGACCTGTGTTCGAAAGTAAACGGCTATCTCTCCGAACTTTCTCGCTTCTTCACTGCAAAGTGTCTAGCCCTCTCCCCTACGAAATCCTCCGCGACCCTGTTCACAACCTGGACGAAGGAGGTCAGGCTACCGCTGGGGATTCACGTCGATGACACACCAATTCCGACGGTGAATAACCCCAAAATACTCGGAGTAACATTCGACAGCCTGCTCTCCTTCTCTGCGCACTCAACCGCTATTGTCAATAAAGTACAGAGCCGCAACAAGGTCCTCAAGTCGCTAGCCGGCAGTACTTGGGGCAAAGACAAAGAAACGTTGCTGGCAACATACAAGGCAATAGGGCGGCCGGTTTTGAACTACGCAGCGCCAGTGTGGTCGCCAGGGACTAGTAGGACGCAGTGGACGAAGCTACAGAATGTACAAAACACCGCACTCAGGACAGCGACGGGATGCCTCTTGATGTCGCCGGAACACCACCTGCACGGCGAGGCGCAAATGCTCCCGGTAAAGGAGCACAATATAATGCTCTGCAAGCAGTTCCTGATCGGGAGCCACAGAAGTGGCCACCCAAGCAGACAGCTGCTTGCAGAGGAGCCCTCGCCTAGGCACGTCCGGAGGCATCTATATGAACTGACGGACGAAGTCCAGAGGTTCATTAAGCAACCTCTGGACCCGACAGCGTACCGACAGGCCCTGAACGGCATTCACAGGGTCTCAGTCTCGAGTTATGTAGACTCTAGACCTGTGAATGCCGTTCTAGGCATACCACCCCCGGACATAGACAAGACGGAGCTTCATCTGCCTTGGGACACACGCACAACACTTGCACAACTTCGCTCCGGCTACTGCAGCAGGTTGAACTCCTACCTGAGTAGGTTGAATGAGGATGTGCCGAATGAGTGTCCGGCATGCGGAGAGACCCCACATGACTCGAAACATCTCTGCGCATGCCCGGAAAACCCAACAACCCTAACGGCCTTGTCCCTGTGGACAAACCCCACAGAAGCTGCACGCTTCCTAGGGTTGCCGTTAGTGGAACTTGACGACAACGACTGAGATACCAACCGTTCTGGGCGGGGTTGTTGTAGCCGCTACAACAACAACAACAACATGGATACTATCCTAGAATGTCAGGGCATTGCTGTTATATCACCAGCTGCCCGCCAGAAAATCACTTTGATATTGGTTCGCTCATCTGAGATGAAAACGGTATTATAGTAGGTGACTTCAACGCGCACTACGATCTAAGGTTTTCAAGCCTGTCGAACGATCGCAGGGGAATACACTTGGCTGAGCAGATAGACGATTCGACATTCTACACAATGAACGATGACGCACTAACACGAATTTATGGGCAGTTGCAGTAGCTTGCCAGACCACCAGAGTACAACGTGGACACCTATGTTGACGGTAGCAGTTTGCTTTCGCGGAACACCGAGCCTACATCAACTTTAACAAAGTTGCTTGGAATGGTTTTATGGATGTTACTAAAAGTACCTCGTCGCCCTTCCCGCACGAACCGACGTTCATGCAGGCGAAGGAAAATTTCGCAAAGTTATCACTGCTGTTGCAGCACGCTTCATTCCCGTTGGATGTTTTGCTGAAACCCGCCCAAATTTCCCAGGTGAGGTTCGACAGATAGTAAACTTAACTAGCGAAAGAAGTGAGAAGAGCACCTGATAACTCCAAATTTTGCCTTTGGTTTGAGAAAGCTTTGGTCAACTGTAAGGTCACTGTTCAACCCGAGGATAGAGCGGAAATCTTCTTCGGTGACCGCTTCCCTTTGGACCCGGAACGATACGCCAGCCAAACCTCGAGTGACAAAGAAGGCTGCATAAGGCCGATTGTCCAGACGTCGTATGCATTCTGATGTTGAAAAAATTGGTCCAGAAGATGTAGACTACCTCACCAAGGTTCTCAATATGTCAATAACCTGTCTCATTATTCCCGACGCACAGTGTTTCGACTATATGGAGGCAGATAGAAACAAGTCATGGTGACAGTTTATAAAAAAACCGGTTGGACTTAGAGAGGGAAAAGTAAAAGTCACAAATACTACATTTCACATTATTTACTCACCCCCCTTCTTCACGAACGATGCATTTCCAAAGAAATACGGGAATCGGCGCGATACCGAGAAATCAGTTAAGTTGCCTTTGGCGGTTAACCCATTAAAGAAAATTTTTCTTTTTCAACTGTAATCAATTATTTAGATATCGTGGAATATTCAGGTGAAGGTATTTATCAGTTATTTGGAACTTTCCTATTTTCTTACCACAAAATTTACTTTAAAATGTAGATGCTAAAGATTATTAGTAAACAAAAAGTGTGAGTACCGGTCCGCCAGGTCTTGAAATTAGACGAATGTTTTAGAGAATTTTATGTAGTTTTAGAATAGGAGCGTTCCTTATCTCCCAGAAATAGTCAGAAAAAGTCCGAAGTAGTCAGATTTAGTCCAAAAAGCGTTCCTTAACTCGGAAATGACAGCAAAAATGAGAGAGCAACAGTCAGTGAGAGTGACTCTCATCAGTCCGAAGTAGTCAGATTTAGTCAGAAGAATTTTTTCTGGCAAAATCCTGAAAAGTGTCAAACTCAACTGAATTTAAATTAACGGAAACTAAGGAATACGCTAAAAGTGAGAATAATCTAAAAAGTAAAAGAAATGAATTGAAATTGGAAGAAGGCAAAAAATAATTGATATAGCAAGTGTTTATTGTGCTTGTGCTTGTGTGAATGTGTTTTGTACATACATTTCTGTTCTTATTTGACGTTAGTTTTGTTGTTGCCATTCTTTGGACTAAAAATTTGGTTTTTTGCGTTCCTTTACTTTTCATGTTATTCTCTTTAAGTGAGCGCATTTTGCTTACGCTCTGGCATTTTGACACTTTTCAGATTTTAGTCCAAAAAGATAAGGAATGAACCTAATATATAATTTGATCTTTGCGCGCGATTTTGCAAATATGTGACCTGGTCTACGAAAAGGGAGCTTACGTGCGAAAACTAGTTTTCTGTGAAAAAGCTGTTAAAAGTAAGCAACTCGTTTCGTCAGTTTCTCATTAATCGTTAATTGTTCTCCGCGCCGGACGTCCAGTAAGTGTTGTTGTTGGTCCAGTAAGTGTTGTTGTTAATCCAGTAAGTGTTGTTGTTGGTCCAGTAAGTGTTGTTGTTGGTCGGAATATTATTATAGTTCATCGTGTAAGTTGCTAGTGTGGAACATTTAAAAAAGTAACACTGAAGAAGTGACATTTACTGTTTCTGTTGATTATCGCCTTCGCATTTCGCATTAAATAAAACATGAGTGTTGATGAGGAGTTCAGTGCCGTATACGGACAATATTTCCATGAAAAGGATGATGAAAACTATGAAGAGAGCGATGATGATGAAGACGAAGTATGTGTATCTCAGGCAGATGATACACACGTAAAAAGATCTCAAGGAAAACGACAACAAAGAAAAATACATAAACTACTCAGCATTATTATTTTTGGCCCATAATACGTTTTTCTAGTGTATAATCATGTCTTTATAGCTTATAATTCAATGTATTTTGTTCATTACCAATAAATTATATTTTGTCGTATTTTTACTCTTCTTTCTCTACATTTTTAGTACACTTCTAAGCAAGTTAGGATTTTCTGCTTTTCACCAAGTGAAAAAGCATCTCATCTTCCATCCGAATCAACCAAAAAGTGAAAATTGATTTTTTGACACCTAAGCCCCCTTTCCGTAGACCAGGTCACATATATGTAATTTTTGATTTTCAAAATTTTTGATTTTCAGCCTCTTTTTGCATAATTTCAGGAAAAGAACTTTCGAGCAATGAAAAAGTCTCGCCAAACATTAAGTAAAAAGCGAGTATTTACACCTAAGTCATTTTATAGTATAACATTTGTTTTCTGAGAGTGAAAAGCAGGAAACAAAAATGAGCCAAAATTCCATCATATTTAACGACTGAACTCACATTTTTTTTTAGCTTTGGACGTTATAGTGATCCAGTCTTCCCCATATTTTACATTTAGGTTTTTCTAATAAAAGTGAGAGCATAAACTAAATCATCGAAGTTGGATGAAATTTAATGTTTCCGCCCCCAAGAGTAGAAGGCGTGGCAATTATTCCATCTTTACCAAATTTCATGATTCCCCATTCCTAAGTAAAACTAGAGCCCATGTCAAGTTTCAGTGAAATTGGTGCAAGTTTAATATTATTTCCACCTGCCTCCATATAGTCGAAACACTGTGCGACGTGTGGAAAACAGCGGGAGTGGTCCCACTGCAGGAATTGGTAATCCTGCCAACAAAGGAGAGTGTTATCGGCCGATAACTCTCCTTTCCCTTGCAGCGGAGACACTCCCGCATTTCACGCGCTGACTGACCCCACCGAGGCATCAGTATGTCTTCCGTAAGGCGCACAGAACCGCAACAGCACTTTTTGCTATAAACACTCGGAAGAGCCGCAACCTTGTTGGAAAGCGCCCCTGTAAGAGAACAATCTGAGTAGAGTTCCTCTCTCCCACAGGGACTTAAACGGTAGTCAGCGACATTCGTCAACAACAAAACAAAAAGTTTCACAGGGTGGTGTGTTTTTACCGCTTCTGTTTAATTTGTATATTTCCATTATGTCATATGCTGATCACTGCTCGATAATGGCGTCCGGAATAGAATTATTGACCTCGATAACGTTTTTCACCACTTGAAAGAAAGGCGAACCTATTCCGACTGTGAACAACTCGAAAATACTCGGAGTTACCTTCGGCAGTCTGCTCTCCTTCTCGGCGCACACGACCGAGTTTGGTAACAGAGTACAACAACAAGGTTCTCAAGTCGCTAGCCGGCAGCACCTGGGGCAAAGACGAACGACGTTGGCAACATTAGAGGCAATTGGCCGGTCGGTTCTAAACTTTGCAGCGCCGTGCGGCCGCCGGGGGTTTGCAGGACCCAGTGTACGAAGCTACAGACCTGCCAAACCACGGCACTCCAGACTGCCATGGGATGCCTTCCGATGTCACCAGAGCCTGCATGGTCAGATCCCCGTCATTGTCTCAACTTACACCGACTCCCGACCTGTGAATGCTGTTGTAGGAACACAACCAGCCGACGTGGGGGAGATAGAACTTCGCCTGCCTCGGAAGACTCGCACTACGCTTGTACAACTCCGTTCTGGATACTGCATCAGGTTAAATTTCTACCTAAGCAAGATAAACTGAGATGTGCCCAACGTATGTCCGGCGTGCAGAGAGTCACTCCATGACTCGACACACCTCTTCTTATGTCCACCAAATCACACTTAACTACCCCCCTTCTCTCTCTGGTCCAACCCAGTCGGAGTGGCATACTTCCTGGGCCTCCCTTTAGTTGAGCTTGAACACAACGACTAGGAGAAAAGCTGATCTAGGCAGGGCGCAGTAAGCGCTAAAACAACAACATGGCGAATTGAAAATAGCTATTTCTCCTCTATTAAGATAAAAAAGTGCAACTGTCAAATGCAATTGTTTGCTTTCGTTTACTTGTCATTCACATTAGAAAACCGCTGGCAGTTTTCGGCGATGTTGTCCAAGTTTGCTGGGGTGTATTCCTAAAATAATTCCGAATTAATTCGTCAATCTGTATTAACGCTGCCATCTTTCTAGGGTATAAATAATTTTATTAATTTATATCTAATTTATATTGTAACGAAGGTAACTGCTTCAATCAAATTTCCATAGTGCGGCAAAACGGCGTATGTAGAGCAGTGCTTGTTAGCCAAACAATTAGTTTTTGTTAATTGCTTTCAAGTTTATAAGTTGAACCACCAAAAACCGTTTCCAAGCATAGCCGTCGTATTCATGTTGTGTGTGTTTACCACAGGGATAAAAGGAGGCACCCTGAAATGTAATTTAAAATTTACGAACAATGTATTTTGGTTTCTGCTTTTAAATTGTTTAATTTCTGCTTACTATAGTTTTCGGCAGGATGTCATCATCGGAAACTCTTGCTAAAGGACCACGCCCTCTAGTCATATGCGGCCCATCTGGTTCCGGAAAGACCACATTGCTGAAGAAACTCTTCGAAGATTTTCCCCACACATTCGGCTTTAGTATATCGCATACTACACGCGCGCCACGTGCAGGCGAAGGCCACGGTGTACACTATTATTTTGTTGACAATAAAAAAATGCAGGAGAAAATAGATAACGATGAGTTTATTGAAACTGCTGTTTTTAGTGGAAATACATATGGCACTACTAAAGCGGCAGTTCTAGACATACAGAGATCCGGTAAAGTCTGCGTTCTGGATATTGAGCCGCAAGGTGTTGAACAAATAAAAAAAACTGATTTGAATCCTATATTAATCTTTAATAATCCACCATCACTAAAAGATCTGGATCTGCGCTTGCGTAAACGTCAAACGGAAACTGAAGAGTCCTTGCAAAAACGACTAACGGCAGCTGAAAAGGAAATGGCATACGGCTTAACTCCTGGGAATTTCCACAGGATCATACATAATATCGACATTGACGAGTCATATGCAGAGTTGAAAGAATTTGTTGTAAACGAGTTGAAGAAACAAGAGGCCGAAGGCATTGCAATACGCTGGGAATAAGCCTAGGGGAAAATCCAATTTGAAGTTGTGTTAAATGTACACATAATCTATGTAAAAAGGCATTTGCTTTTAAAAGTAGTAATGTTATGAAAGAATTATATAAAAACTAACTTAATGGTAAAGTTAAAATTTTTGACGACGTTATGTTTAACGAAAGTAGTAGTTGATTGATTATTTTATGTTAAAAATATATTTAAATTGTATAATTACAATATTTTATATTGCATTTTTTCCTGCCCATATCGATTATTCTGGCTGCATTACCTGAATGCGTAAGTGTAAGAAAGTGTCTTTTTAAACTAGGGCTTTAGAAGTATAATATGTATTAAGAGGTTATTGGGAAGCTCTTACCATTCAATGTCTTAGTTTAAGCCGTGATTGTTATTGATTGTTTGAAATGTTTAATTGAGTAAAAAATATAAAACTGCATTAATAATATGCTTGTTTTTTTTTTTTAATTTGAAAGTCGTAAGGTAATTGATACATCCATGTTCTGCTTATAAACCCATTAAGTTAAATCCGAAAAGCTCTTTATTTTACTGATGGTTAATGCTTTTCCAACTTGGTAAGGGATTTTTAAAATAATTCAAAAAGGGTCTGCCTACGTGTGTTCTTCAATATTTCAAAGAAAGTAATTGAAGTTTACAAAAAAATACTGCACAAACCGTTTTGATTCTGCATTCGGGGTAGAACTTTATTTTCCTCCTAATTGTGTTACCGTTTTAAATATCTTGGTATGTTAAATTAAAATATAGCCGTGTTTTTTTCAAAACATCAAAACTTATTTTTATTGGTAACATGTCCGAAGTTGCTGCTACAACAACAACAACAACCCCGCCCAGATCGATTATTGCTAGTAATGCTCGGTAACACTAAGACAAATTTAAAAGTGGCTTTTAAAAATTTAAGTAAACAAAAACTAATTAATTTAAAATATAATTTTTAATTTTTATTTTTTTATTTTTATTTTCACGTAAAGACTATTGAGAGAACAATTCTAGTAGCGTTGGACCTCTCCAAGGCGTTTACCACCGTCACTCACTCCACGCTACTAGAAGATATAGAGGCTTCCTCTCTCCCACAGGGACTCAAACAGTAGTCGGCGAATTATCTGAGTGGTCGACACTTATCAGAAATTTTTGGAGACAAATCGAGCAAACCCAGGAAAGTCAAACAGGGGTACCGCAGGGTGGCGTACTTTCCCCACTACTGTTTAACTTTTACATTTCTAAGCTCCCCCAACCATCAGAGGCAGTCTTGATTGTCTCTTATGCTGACGATTGCTCGATAATGGCGTCTGGGAATGGAATTGATGGCTTGTGCTCGAAAGTAAACGGTTATCTCGCCGAGCTTTCTCGCTTCTTCACTGGACGGAGCCTAACCCTCTCCCCTACAAAATCCTCAGCAACATTTTTTTGCAACATGGACGAATCAGGTCAGACTTCAACTGGGTATTCACGTCGATGACAACCCAAACCCAATGGCGAATACCCAAAAATCCTCGGGAGTAACCTTCGACAGTCTGCTCTCCTTCTCCGCGCATACAACCGCAATTATCAATAAAGTACAAAGTCGCAACAAGGTCCTCAAGTCGCTAGCCGGCAGCATCTACGCCAAGACAAAGAAACGTTGTTGGAAACGAACAAAGCAATTGGCTGGCCGGTTCTGAACTATGAAGCCCCTGTGTGGTCGGCGGGGACTAGTAGGACGCAGTGGGTGAAGCTACAGACCTGCCAAAACACGACACTCAGGACGGCCGTCTGATGTCATCGCAAGATCTCCTGCACGACAAGGCCCATATGCTCCCTATGAATGAGCATAAAACAATGCTCCGCAAGCAATTCCTAGTAGGGTGTCACCGACGTGGCACCCTAACGGAGGGTGTGTTCAGAAATGCATCAAGCCAAAGCATCAGTCTCTTTTATTTCTAAACTATAATTGATGGAAATGTCCAATATGCGCAACCACGATTAAAAGCTTAATTGGGACTTAGTTGCGTAAATAAGGTATTTCCATCAATTATAGTTTAGTGGTAAAAGAGGCTGATGCTTTGGCTTGATGCTTTTCTGAATACACCTAGACATTTGCATGCTGAAGAACCCTCGCCATGGCACGTCAGCAGGACGAAGTCCAGAGGTTCATAAAACAACCTCTGGACCCGACAGCATACCGACAGGCCTTGCACGGCATTCACAGTGAGTCAGTCTCGAGTTATATAGACTCTCGACCTGTGAATGCTATTCTGGGCACACAACCACCAGACGCGGACGAGATAGAGCTTCGACGGGAGATTCGGACCACAATAGCCCAACTTCGCTCTTGCTACTACAGCAGGTTAGACTCGTACCTGAGCAGAGTAAATGCAGATGTGCCAAACAAATGTCCGGCATGCGGAGAGACACCCCATGACTCGAGACATCTCTTCGCATACCCACTGAACCCCACTCCACTATCGCCTCTGTCCTTATGGACAGACCCTATCGATGCTGCCCGCTTCTTGGGTCTCCCGTTAGTAGAGCTTGACGACGAATGAGGAATTAACCGTTTAGGACGGGGTTGTTGTCGCCGCTACAACAACAACAAGAACTAATGCTGTTTTCTTTTCTACCGAAAAATGCTGCCTTCTCAGTGCCCTCTACTTTGGGAAATGCGAAGTTACTGTAGGAAACTTTACTTACGGGATGGAATCACTCATTCCTTATGAAAATTCGAATAACCCTAGTAATACGCGGAAAAAAACAAATTATTTTCTCGTAAAATTTGGGTGATGAAAGTTTTTTTATAATTTAGTATCTAATGCCTACCCAAATCGCCTATTAGTTTTTTTTAAGTTGAAACGCATCGCATGCCTGTTCAATGAGAGACGTGATCATATGTAGAAAAACAGTTTCAGTTAAAAATAAGACAAGAAAACTATAAAGACCAATGGACCTTCGAAGTTCATGCTAGTAATACGCGGTAACACAAGGAAAATATACGTGATGGAATTTTTTCCATAATTTTCCGTAGTTTAGTACCTAATAAACACATACCAAAATTGCTAATTAGTTTTTTAAGGGAGAAACCATCGCAGGCCTCTGCATTTACTAAGTTTTTTTATGAATATCATAAAAAGCTTTTTAAAACATGTTATAATTAAAAAATTAATTGAAAATTAGAACGTTCATTAAATCGCCAGTTGTTTTAAAGTAGTTTGGCTTTAAATTACTTGTGATCATTGAGTTTCCATTAACGATGTCAAACTAATTTCTGTATTATTCTTTTGCAGAACCACTGGTTAAGGTTTTTAAATTCAATATACGCACAATAAGTACAGCACTACTGCAGTCTAAGGAATATACTAAATAGGCTTAATTTTTTACAAAGAAAATTTTCAAATTGTCACTCATGTTCAGAAGGACGTAGACGGTGTAAACTTATTTGAGAAATCGCCAACCTCAGTATTTTGATAGTATGGACAAGAAAATGTCGACATCTTCGCAGCCACGCATATTAAAAAAGAAACATTTTCGTGTAAAACATCAAAAAGTGAAGCTCTTTAGAGCAAATGAACCGATTTTGAGTGTTTTCATGTGGGGCATTAATCACACGGTAAGAACTAACTTGTATACTTATTCTTTCGAAGTGGACCATTTAAAATAATGACATATATTTTTTCACATACTTCTAGATAAATGAACTAAGTCATGTTAATATTCCTGTGATGCTTTTGCCTGATGACTTCCGTGCATATTCAAAAATTAAAGTCGATAATCATCTTTTTAATAAGTACGTAAAATTTAAACTTTTATTCATACAAATAATTTTGAAAAAGGAACATATTCTTTTATGTTTCTGTATATTTTTATTATAAAATCTTTGCTGTTTAGTTGAACTTTTTTCAATAATTAATTTTAGTCTACATGGCGTTAACAGCCGGCAATACCGGAATCAGAGCCTTACTGCCACACTCACTGAGCGTTTTCTGCCGCCTGGCGTTAACGCCAAGGTGTCACCTAAACAAAAGCGGCAACACTACACCGAAAGTAGAAATAACAACTCCAATAACCACACGTTTGTGTGTAGGTAGGTAGAAGTGGCTGTCGCCTTCAGCGGCACACTTAGGCCATAAATAGGAGCCCCCTTGTGTTACCACCAGTCAATTATCCTCACTGTTGCACCACCTCGTGTCGCTGATGAATTTCATCAGGCAACTTGCGTCGGTATTTGAAACCTCCGTAAACTCGGCTAGGAACGGTGAATTCAGATGATGTAGCCTGTTTCTACACAGTGCAGAACATTTATACAGGAGATGCAAGACTGTTTCCTCCTCTTCATAGCCGTTACAGCTTCTGCAACATCTTCGGAAAGGCACGCCGAGACGTTAGATATGTCCTATTATCTAAAAGAGTATACACTTCGTGACCGCTTCCAATCCCATTTAGACAACGTGTACCAAGAAATTCGACAAATCGTAAAGGATGTTTTTTTAGACGTGTGGTTTTCAATGAGGCAATACTTTTTTCGGAGTTGGTTTATTTAGACAGCTGTTACTTGATTTATACTCAGTTTGGTCTGCCATTTCATATTCCGCAACAACGTTTGCAAATCGTGCAAATTTATTATCAAAATAATGCTTCGGTTCGCGCGACGCATCGCGCGCTGCGTCCAATATTCGGTCGACATAATCGCTCAGCAGAATCGGTAATTCGAGCAACCATGGATCGGTTTCGCACCACGTTTACTCTAGTGGATAATGCGCATCCTCAGAGATCCCGTACAGTGCGCACCGAAGACGCTATTGATGCTGTGGAGCAGAGTATCGAAGAAGACCCGAATGAGTCCATCCGCCATCGCGCGCAACAATTGGAACTGTGCCCATCCATGCGGGCTTACAAAATCCAACTCGTGCAAGAATTGAAGCCGAACGACCATTTAGCGCGTCGCACGTTCGGCGAATAGGCCCAAAGCGAGATGGCCACCGATCCCGATTTTCACAAGAAAATTTTGTTCAGCGGTGAAGCTCACTTTTGGTTGAATGGGTACGTTAATAAACAAAATTGTCGCGTTTGGAGTAAAGATAATCCACAAGCCGTTGTTGAGACGCCGTTACATCCTCAAAAAGTCACTGTTTGGTGTGCTCTATGGGCACAGGGAATCATTGGTCCACATTTCTTCAAAAATGAAGCCGGCCATAATGTTATAATCAATGGGGGAACACTATAGAGCCATGATTACAATCAATGGGGAACACTATAGAGCCATGATTATGACTTTCGTGCTTGAATTGGAGGATGTTGATGTGGACGACCTTTGGTTCCAACAAGACGGCGCTACATGCCAACGAAACAATCAACTTATTGAAGGAAACTTTTGGTGAGCGCATTATCTCGCGTCCTGGGCCTGTGGTGTGACCTCCAAGATCGTGCGATTTAACACCGCTGGACTCTTTTTTTGTGGAGTTATGTGAAGTCGCTTGTCTACGCAGATAAGCCCGAGACGATTGACGCCTTGGAAGAGAATATTCGGCGCGTTATTGCTGATATATGGCCCCAATTTCTGCAAAAGTGGTCGAAAATTGGGTCTCGGCTGGAGTTTATTCGAGCCAGCCGCGGCGGTCACTTGCCCGAAATCATTTTTCAAGCATAATGGCAAACTCTTGTCTTTATAATAAAGGTAAATTCTTAGTCATACCATTAAACTATATGCGTTTTATTCCTTCTTGAAAGTCACATGTCTAAAAAACACCCTTTACTTTGACTCATATTTCTTCAGCTTGTTTGTATGCAAATTCGCTAAGTAGCAGCTTCCAAGTGGCAAAAGGCATACCAAAGCGTTCTTTACCAGGAACAATCTGCTTGGTCGTACCTTGCCTTGCAAGTTCATCAGCCATGCAGTTTCTTTCTATGTCCCTATGAGTAGGGACCTAAGTGAGGTGAAGTCTGTTCTGCTTGACCATCTTCTGTAGATATAGGCGGCATGAAAATGTGAAAGAACTCTGAGCTTTGATTGCAGCCTTGCTATCACTAAAAATGAATACGTCTCTTCCAATCGTTTCGGTTCCAAGACTCCCCGCAGCCTCCATGATAGCTGACACTTCAGCTTAGAATGGGCTGCAGTAATTTGGTAACCTAAAAATTTTCAGAGGAAGGTTTCGTGAGTAAACGTCTCCTCCTACCTTACCGTCGAGTTTCGAGCCATCTGTATAGATGTCAATACTATCAGGTGGAGTGTTAATATCTTCTTCCCACTCCTCCCTGCTCGGGATTCTTATGCTAAGGTTGCTTTCCGTAACAGATATCGAAGCACAACGTTCTGCGCTGTTCGGAATAAAGCAACATTTATTTGATATATAAGAGTGTCTCTGGGCTTCAGGAGGCCAATAGGATTCTTCTCTTAAGCGAAGAGCAGCGAGCGCTACCACTAGAATTTTTTACCTTCTCGTAAAGAGGACGACCTTGCTTCAGCTGACGCTTAGGCCACAGCGGGTGGACCACCTGCATCAGCTCACATAGGGTTTGCGTAAACTTTTCCCTGAAGGCGATTGAAATGTCAGCGGCATAGGTAATGACAGAGTAGCTGACCGATAAGCTGCGCCAGTGAGTTATCCACCCCTAGAGCCCTCACGGCATCAGTAGTAGCTTCTGGATGTACGTTGCTGAACGCGACTTCAATATCCAAGAAAGCTACGAGGCAGAAGTTCTTAACTAGCTCAGTCATAGAGATATACCCAGTTAAAACTGAGCTAGTACCCTTTACTAGGGGGTACAAATTGCCGCTTCTCGTACCCCCTAATAGATTAAAATATAATTCTCAACATATAAGGATAGGTTCTTCTGAAACAAAAAGACAGCGGAACGCATTAAGAACGCCGTAACTGCACTTCCCACTTGCAAATACAATAGGAACATCATGGTGACACCACAAGGATAGTATAGGGGATATATACGCAACTTCACATCTCAGTTATATCCCATGGAGCCTTAGTATGGTCACCTAATGAAATCTACAGCGCACTGCAAAGGATACAAAGAAGTGCGAAGTTCTAAAAAGCGGAAACTTTTGGCTCCACGCTCACGTATGCCCTCTAATTAGATAGATAGATATTAATATGAGGTGTGCACCGGGACTTGGTGATCTATTGTGCCCTCTTCTCTTCACACCACTTCATCTAAGCCCAGATCCCTCAGAAAATTCAATAGGGCCTTCGGGAGTAGGGAGTGGATGCGCTCAAGCTGTGGCCACAACGAGCCTAGACTCCTCTCACGTCTTCTGCAGACTGTATCACACTCGGTGAGATTGTGAAGTGGCGTCTCGCTGGTCAAGTCACAGAACCTACATAGATCATTCGACCATATGCCCAGCTTATGTAGGTGACAACTTAGTCTGCAGTGTCCTGTAAGAAAACCTGTTACAATTCTAAGCCTCTCTTTTGGGAGGTATATTAAGCTTTGGAATCTCTTCTTGTTAAACCCTCCCAGTAAACTCTTTGCCTGGCGCATTCCTCCCGAACTGCGCCAGTTTAGATCCCTTTGTGTGAACCTCTCTCCTAAGCTCCTCCTTTATAGTATTGGGACCTATTCCCAGGAATGGCTCTGGGCCAACTGAAGTGATGGCTGCCGCCTCTCTAGCGAGACAGTCAGCCACCTCATTACCCTATACTCTCCTATGGCCGGGTACCCACGCTAACATTGCTAGAGTATATGACCTTTCCTTTTCCACAACTCTCTCTAGCAAAGCTAAGCAGAGTTCTTTTGGCTATCTGCTCTATGGGGTTATGTGAAGAGGCTCGAGTTCGAGGACTACTTCCTGCGCCGTCGTCGGACATGCATACATATGCCAGTCTTTGTAGCTTGGTGAGTGATTGCCTCACTGTGGCCAGAGTAGTCCTTGAAACCCAAGCCACCGCCCCATAGGTAATCATTGGCTGTACTACCATGGTGTAAAGCCATCTTAGGATATTGGGGCTACAACCTCAGGATTTTCCCGCCAGACGCTTGCACACCATTAAAGCTTTCGTGGCTTGGAGGTGATCGCATCCACATGTTTCTTCCATAGAAGTTTGGTGTCTAGGATTAGACCCAGATACTTCACTTCGCTGGCGACGTTGACCGAGACCCCATCCAGGGTTATGTCCCTCATACCCGGCAGGGCTCTTATCCTAGTAAAAGGGATGCTGGCGGTTTGGCCGGATTGGTGCTAAGGCCTTACTTGGCATACCATCCTTTTGTTAATCTTAGACCTCTTTGAATAATATCGCAGAGGGTGCTCTCAAGCATCCCCCTGGCACTCATCACTATGTCATCCGCATAGCCTTGGCAGCGGATACCATTGTCGGAGAGAAGCTGAAGGAGTTTATCCACCGCTAGGCTCCACAGAAGAGGGGATAAAACGCCTCCCTGAGGGCAGTCCTTTGTTGTTAGTAGTTGTATCACGCTGTCACCAACCTTGGTTTCAGCAATCCTAGTACGCAACAGCGTATCCACCCAGTTACAGATCACTGGCAGCACGTTTATTTTCTCTAGTGCTTTACGCACTCCAGAATGCGACGTATTGTCAAACGCCCCCTCTATATCGAGGAAAGCGCAAAGCACTGTGTCTCCGCATTCAAAAGCCCCCTAAATTTCGGGTGTCAGTTGATACAGGGCTGTGTTCGTGGACCTTCCAGCCCTATATGCATGTTGCCTTCAGAATGCTAGATCTAATATGATTGTCTATTATCTTCTCCATTGCTTTTAACGCAAAGGAAGTAAGGCTTAAAGGTCTGAAAGACATTGCTAGCGAGTAAT